AAAAAAAAAAAAAAACAAAAAAAAAACTGAAATGACAATTGTGTAGAGTTTTGTTCACATGCAACATTTTTTTGGTTATTTTGCTGCACATGTGCATACATATGTAAATGGGGCTGATTCTGTAGGGCTAATTGTTGCAAAGCATATGAAATTCACTTAAGTGGCGCCTGAGTTTTATTTAAATAAATATGTTTTTAAGTTTTAAACTTCAGCACAAGCCATGACACAAAATGTCAAATTGACAAGTGCCATAGTTGTTTTTTAACGTGATGATTAACGTATTTTTCCTGTTGCATTTACACATCGAAATAATTTTTGTGTTTTCATTTGAAGTTGCTCTTTAAACATTTTTAAACTGATTTTTATCGAATTTTAGAACTTGTTCAATTAGGTTGACTTTCGCCACTTTAAAACTTATCACTTTTTTGTAGTCGATGGCGAATTCTTGATAATTTTTAGCAAATATATATATGTACACATGTATATGTACTTATACATACATTAGTAAGTCCCCTCTAATACTGTCGACGGCAGCCACACTTCAGTTTAGTAGATACGTATATGGAAAACAACTCAAAAGCCAAATTTTATTGTGTGCTAACAACAATTGTAAATGCTTTAAGCTCTTCAACTGCACACACAAAAACTACAAACAAACAAACATCCACTGGTAGCGCTTAACAATATAAAATCGTCATTGATTACTTCGAAAGTTGGCGGTAATCGATTGTTTGGTTGTTTTCCGATGCATTGTTAGAATTGTCATGGCCTGTAACAATACTACATATATGTGGGTGGCGCACCCGTTAACTTGACCGCCATAGTGAACTCCGTGCGGAAATAATAAAAACATTTTATAGGAATTATTTACTGTATTGAAAAGTATTTCAAAATTTCAATTTTGTGGGAAAATGCAATCAAAGTTTTATCAATCCATACGGAGAGTTGGAAAGACACATATCTTTGCCCATATTTTCAGGTCACAGATATGACAGACAGGCTAGTAGTACGTACTACTACTAGGTGGAATCCAGTTTCAGTGACAGTTCACCCTCTGAATTATGGAAGATTTTTTCATGTAGCGGTCTCGGTTAGGCAAGCATTAACAAAGCTCTTACAGCCAGTTTCACGAAAGCAATTTAAGTGAAAAATAAATAAAATAGAAGGGAAAAATAATAATTTTTTACTTAAATTGCTATTGAAACCATAGTTAACGTATTTATGTCATGCAAAAGCGTAAAGAGATGCTTCTAGCATGGTTGTTAACCGGTCAATAACCAGTAAGAAACTGGGGTTTCTCCCATATAGCAGAGAAACGTAAATTTTGCCAAAACTGCGGTCTCGTACAATTTTCCGTATCCGGAAACGCAGAGAAAAAAACTAAAATTAATTTTAATTTTCGTATGCGGAGAACGTTCGAAACGTTGGACAGTGTTTCGACTATATGGAGGCAGGTGGAAATAATAGTACATAAGCACCGATTTCACTGAAACTTGACATGTGCTCTAGTTTTGCAACTATAATCGAAACACTGTGCGTTGGGAGGAGATGATTTTATTTAAAAGCAATTGTATTTTATACGTGGTCGGCAGTGGGTGAGCGCTCTTTAACTCTCAGAAGGTGCTACATACGCTTGGCTAACTATTCGGCATGCGACACCTATGACCTGATTCCCCGTATAAAATCCGATTGAGGGCGAGATCTCGCGTTCGATTGAGGCCAATGTGAAACCGTCCCTAGCTGATTCATCGGCAGCCTCATTTGCGGCAATATTACGATGATTGAGGGACCCAAGCTAAAGCTGATTTGAACTGACTAGTAGTTCCGTTCAAAATAGTTTTGCACTCCTTTATCAGCTTCGAATTTGTGGTTAAGCACCCCAGAGCTATAGTGGCCGTCGGGCTATCAGAGGAAACGGCGACGCGCTCTCATTGACTTTAGCGTAAACTACTGCACTTTAACAGACGACAGTTCTCAGATATAGCAAATATATATGTAGATGTACAGTTGATGTATTAAGGCGTAGGTGTCAAATGCTAGTCCCGTTCGATCCTAGATGATTGAAATGAATTAAATTTCTTGATGCACAAGGCCAGCCGCTATTTAAAATAATAAAGTTAGAAGGATAAAATTCAAGGATATTTTAGCGAACATGTTAGTCCTTAATATATATTTATTTAGCAAAAATAACTATTCGAAATTTTCGAGTATATTCAAGGATAAAGTTCCAAAAGGAAATTTTCAATGTCTAATGGCTTTTGTTGGCCAAAAATTTAATTGTTTTCAATTTTACAGAATTTTCTATCTTATCTAAGGCCGTATTGTTAATAAGCATGTAAATTTTTAAAATAATTTTTTGAATCAATTACGTATATCTGCGCTTTGAAAAAATCTGGTGTGGGTGGTGGGTAAGACTGAAAAAAATTGGTAATTTGATTTTTTAAGAACCACCCTAATGTGTGTATATGTAAATATTTTCTACATAAAATGCAAGAATATTTGCCACCTTTTAATGGTCTGTGAATCATTAAATGTACACATAAATTTACTCATATATTATATTTCTATTCTCGGCGTGCCATCCAAGCTATTTATTCAAATTCAAATGCACTTCGTTATTATTATCTATCCATTTATATCAATTGAAATCAGCAATTACTTGAAAATGTCAACTTGGTTGGTCGCACGTTGTGTGATTATTGATTTCATTTATTGTATGATCGCCCAATGGATACAATTGCCTTATCAATTTTCTAATGGCGATTACCTTTCTACAAAAAACGTTGTCTTTTCCTCGCCCTCTTCACAGTGTTTGTGCTTAAAGGGCAAAGAGAAGGTTGCATTTTTCGGTAGAAACCAAATCGGCATAAGAGTGATCACCGATCAATAAAAAAGTAGACACGTGTAACAAAAAAAAAAAACAACTCGTCGCAACCTTAATGGGCATGTTGTACAACGTACTTCTATTTTGTGCTTCTTTCGAACCGGTAGCCGAGATAGATCGGTCTTTCACGCCGACGAGTTGGTGTGAATAACTTTTATAACTTTGCAGAGGGAGTTAAATGACAAAGTTTTCCTTCCGTAACAGAAAAATTTTATTCTCGCGTGGTCAAAGCACATATGTATGTATGTATTTATATATATATCGTCGCAAAACGGACATTGTGCCAAAAATGAGATTTGCTCACCGGATTTGCTCACAAGCCTTTTTCATTCATACCCAAATATCGAAATGTAGATATAAAAGGTAGAGATAATTAGGTATAAAAAAGATAACCATTTTGAAATAAGTTTTACTCTATTCTGCACAATTGGGTAAACTTCACATACGAGGTTTCGTCTTATTTTGATAAGCGATTTTATTACTTTAAACGACGATATATATGTATGTTAGGGATGTGCGCTTAATCGATTAAATAATTGTTTTATTAATCATTATCCTGATTAATCAAAAACTCATAACTAATTTATTGAACTCTGAGTAACTTTACTCATATCTTTCGAGTTTGCTTTTAAAGCAAATGCATTTTTCTTTTTTGATAATATAATACAATATTTTTCTTATTAACAAAAATATAATGCCAAACGAGCACACTTTTCCCATATTTTATTAGCCGGCCTCGTTTGCGCGAGGCTTCGCCAACCGCTGAATGTGTATATAAGTACATAAGTACATGAGTACATATACGCAGGAGGTGGCAACCCTACTCAATAAAATAATACATTTTTACACATCAAGCGGCTAAGTATTTTCATTTGACAGATGATGGCGCAGAACCGATGCCCACGCTTATTAGGACTGAATGTAGTAATTTTTGTAACAAGTGGCAACCGTACTAAAATTCTCAGTAAACAAGGTCACTCTCCTTTGATACAGACTGTATTAGAGAAAAAGTTTCAGGCTTACGTACACTAAGGTGGTCCAAAAAAAAGTAAAGCCGGAATTTTAACGCTCTCACCCCCCAGGATTATTCCATATCGGAAAAAAATATACCCCTATTTTTTATTTTGAGATCGCTCACAGTTTTCCATATATTTTATATGTATAAAAAACACTTTTCATTGAAATGGTATACAATTCTTGAAAATCAATATCTTACGATCGGGAAAACTCTGGTTTTTTATTACTAAAGATTTTTTATTCATCCCCAAATTACATTTTCAGGGGGTTTTGGCGGACCTATAAAATATAGTTACTATAAAAAAATGGTTAAATAAATAATTTTGTATTGTTATGGGGAATCTCCTGATGAGAAACAGAGTTTTCCGATCTAAAAATATTGAAATATTGAAAATTTTGAGTGCTTTGAGCGACCCTAAATATTTTTTTGATAAAAAAATGTGGTATTTTTGTGGTACACATATAACAATCTTAGGGGTTGGACCACCCTAATGTGCACATGTACATTAAATATTACAAGCTAAATTAAAGCTTGTAAACCTACCGAAAAAATTTAATTACTCTTTGGAGTGGTTTTAAATATGAAATGTATATTAAATTGTATTTATCCATCGGCTTTCGAAGTCTACATACATACATATGTATTTATTTACATTGTGGGATAATGCTTAATAATATTTAAGTCACGCGGAAGCGGTTAAGGGCTCATAGCAATTAAAATTAAATAAATTAAAGTGTGACAGCAGCTATTACCTTTATTTAATTATATATGTGTATAAGAACGCTGATTCTGCAGTTAATTCGATGCAAAATCAAATAATTATCAACTTTTTCAACTTTCATCACACCGCTATGTACATAAATACATACATATAGTAAATGCATATTGTCATTGGCGCTAATTGCCGCTGAAAAAATTGCGAATAAAATTCACTGTTGCTTTTTTGCTTAAAACCTTAAAACATTTTCAAACTGCTAAATAATTCATTAATTGTCAATTTTATGGGTTTCATTCAAGTAATTTTTAAATACTTAGTAGACTCGATAAAGTTTGATAAACTATACTTCATATATAATTTCGCTTCTATCTCATCCATAGGAACCGAAGAGGCGCCAGTGCGTTCAGTTGTGAATCGAGTCGGCCATCAATTACAAAAATGTATGTCCGAGAAGGGACTATGCTTGCTTGTAAATCATGGCATTTCCGATGAAAAGGTATGATAATTAATTTGCCTTTAGCATTGCACCTTGCGTATCCGCCACTTAAATATCTGAACCACACTGCTATAATTTCAGTTAAAAACCGCTTGGGATCATCTCGATGATTTTGTTGACCTACCTGGCGATGTGAAGGAGCATTACCTACGCACTGGTGATGATAATCACGGCTACGTGCGCCCAGGCGTAGAGCGTTTCAATGGCAAAACTCCTGAACTCCGCCATGCTTTCAATATTTGCACATTAAATGCGAAAAATTTACCCGAAGAACCATTACCTGGCTTCGCGGAACACATTTCATCCTTGGCACGGGATTTCAAAGCACTCTCCCGCTTCATTCTGCAGTCACTTGCCGTCTCGCTCGACATACCACAATCGTTCTTCCTCGAGAAACACTCACACATGCTGTCCGGTGATCATGACAACGAGTCCACACTACGTCTGCTCTACTATCCGCCCATCATTGAGGATACGGATGAGAAGAATGACTTTATTAAGGGCAGTTGTATCTACAGTTATCAACGTTGTTTGTCGGATAAACCCGATTTCCGGCCAGAAACGAATCCGCGTGATGAAATCAACGAATTGGATGGCAAAGATGAAAGCAAGGACACCACTGAACGTCAGTTGCCCAACGGTGAAATGATACGCTGTGGTGCACACACAGATTATGGTACATTTACATTGTTGGCCCAGGACTCGGAGGGTGGACTTGAGGTGAAAATGCCGGGTAGTGAAAAATGGCAGCGTGTTGGCCATTTGCCCGGTGCTATATTGATAAACTGCGGTGAAATCTTGTCGATATGGACGAAAGGACGTTATCCAGCATTGGTGAGTGGTAGAGAAAATTTAAAGATATTTATTAATATCACATTTTTCAAAATACATATACATACATATGTATGTATGTACGTATGACTCATTTCTCTTTACCTTCCTTCTACCTGCCTTTTTAATTTGGTTTTCTTACACTTGCGTTTTAATATTTCCACCAACTCAGATTTTTTATGACGACTTGTATGTATATGACAAGAACTGAGAAAATACATTGGTATACAGCATACACACATATGTTCATATATGCATGTATAATTATTAAAATCTTTGTACATATGTAATTGCATTGGTAAATGATATGAGGCTCAACCGATGGAGAATGGTTTTGGTATATCTTAGGTCTGCAGGTTAAATTTTTAATTTTTAATGAAGTGTTTTATTTTGTATAATTGGCTTATCGCTGTTTGGTGCAAAATATCTTGCACTACACTGAGAAAAGAGTTTAGTTGCGTCAACTAAATATGTTTTTCTCAACACATGATTTGCTTATACATAGTTACATTATTGGGTTATAATTACCAAATTGTGGGTTGAGAGGAATATAGTTATTTTGGTTGACCTATTACTGTCTGCGGTTGGGGTTGCTAGAGTCTGTGGAATAGCCACCACCTTGAAAACAAGAATGATTAACGTTTTTGTAAAACTCAGAGGAGCAGCCATTTAAGTACCTCAACCAAACTATGCCCAAAGTTTAATATCCATATGTTATGTTTCTACTTTTTGCTCAAATATCCTACTTTATTACAAACGCTTCCGCATAGAAAACGATTGCGTAGTGCGACAAGCGAAAGATTAGCCGAAAATTGAGACAAAAATCCCAGCACTTACGTCGCGTTTTGTCTTTGATCCATCTGTAAAGGATATCCACGGCCTTCTTGATTTGGGTTTCTCCGCGAATCCAGTTACTGCAGCTTGACTATTTTGTATGGGATTTGTGGTTAGTTCAAACCTTTGGCATAATATAACTTGACGGTGGGCATGTGGTAGTCTAATTATAAGGCCACTGTGATTGAACGGCCTTTCTTTTCGGTAACCCAAATCTGGTTGTGCTGGGATCAGCTGAAAGCTATTGGATTATGGTGAAGGCGTTTTAAGACTATGTTCAAACAGGCACCTTATTGGCAATTAAGCTCCTTTTCACCAATTTAAACCTTAATTGTTACCCGATTTATCATAAAAAAATTCAAATTACTAATTGCGAACAAATAATTAATAATTAATTGGCAATTAATTAGTGTCAGATTCTCTATGCAACCCTGCTAGGTATGTTTAATTTTGACTTGGAGGTATGTTTATTAAACAAAGAGCAATCAGCTGTTTGTTTTTGGTCCTCTTTTATAGCTGAATTATAAAATTGTACCTAATTTAATGAAAACTTTACCTAAAAGTAGATAGATGTACCTGGAAAGTATATATGCATTTCTATATAAAGAGAAATAGGAGGATAACAATTCCCATTGATACCATATTAACTTCTGTACTCACATTCAACAAATTTTGGCTATGTAAAGAATCTCTTCGAGCAGCGCGAGCCAAAACTATGTTGTAGAAAGGTGAATCACTTTCCTCACAGTTCTTTGATCTGACATTTTAAAAAGAAATATTTTCCATCTATCTGGCGAAATCAACTACAGTTGCGTAACTTTGACCACCCTTCTGTATTATTTGTATGCCCCTTCACGAAGGAGAGAAGCTATTAGATCAGTTGGCCCCACCAGCAAACGCATTGAAATGTCAATAAAAATAAGAACTGATATCTGAGAAGTTATTTGTCTACGTTCCAAACGTATCTAAAATTGTGTGTGTTGTACCGAATGTACTTTCAAACTAAATAAAGGTACGATTGTACCAACTTTTCCATCACTGTAGGTAATTCAGCAGCTAAATTCGTATCGATAATTGGGCTGCTGACGTGTGTGTGAACGCCAAACTGAATGCCGCAATTCAAAGTTTAATTGCCTCAGCTAATTGGTCTAAGGCTACATAAATAGTTCAGAGAACAATTTAATAATAACACATATTTAACAAGTTTTTCTAAAAGGTCAAGCAGCTGTTTTGTAGATATGTATTTGGTATCCTGATTCTTTTGCCTTAAGTATTAGCTTTATTTTTTGAGATATAGCATACTCATATCCATGGTGTAATTTTTATAGTACGCAGTTCTAAAATAAGACTATAATTTATGGGTTATTTGCCGTACTTAAAAATCTGCAACTTATGACTTTCTTTTTTTCATTGCAGCAACATCGTGTTGTGATACCAGAACAGCCACATATACGCACGCGTGGCCGTCATTCCATTGCATTCTTCTGCCATCCAGGTAAGTGACACACAAAATAGTACAAAAACCCGTTATTTATTATTAAATACATTTATTTTTCTAGATAACTTAACTATGATTTCGCCAAATGACCTGCCCAACACAGAAGTCGGCACCGATACGGTCGACAAGAAGCCACGCAAGAAGTCCTTCAGGGCAGCGAAAGAGAAGTATGTGTTAATGACGAATTTTCCATAAAAATTTAAATTACTTGATTTCTTAAATTCTGATGAAAGCAACAATGCTGCGGCGTGCGCATCTATCGCCACCACGCCCTTCCACTCCTTTTCAAACCATATTTACTGGCTTAACGCTTTTGCCTAACCCACAGCTTTTTTCTTTTTTTGAAATCATTTCTAGGGTTTACAACGCATACCAGTTAATACAGAAGCGATTTCGGGAAACCTATGGCCACCAAGCTTCGCACTGATAATTACAAGCACACACAAACACACAAACGTACATTAAACCAACTCTAGTTTCTAAATACATAGTTCATAAATACACACAACTTGCATACATAGATTGTTTAGCGCATAATTATTTACATACATATGTAGCTACATATATAAATGCTATTGCACTTACACTGTACTGATTCCAGTCGTAAATTTGCCATGCAGGCAGGGACATAAATACCCGATCATAGCCTTTTTAAAGACGATTGTATTTCTGTGGAAAAGTGGCATAGCTTGATTGAGATGCCGGAGAGAAAATAGCAGTACCGTTGTTTGAGTCCTCGATATTAAGCTTAATTTATTTAATACATGTTTGTTAAACATAATTTGTGTTTGTGTTTAAACACAATATTTAAAAAAAAATATTATTTTGTCCTAGTTAATACTTATTATACATACACACACTTGTACATCTAAACATAGTATATTTACATTCACATCTATGCATATTTGTTCGCTTGTGAACTACTCCAGGCCTACATACATACATATACATATATAGGGTCATATGAACAGTATCTGCGGATTTTTGACACTATATCGTGTTGATACCCATACATCTGACAACACTAATCCAATTGCGTCAATCTGAGGTGCGTTTGAAAAGTGACATTTCAGGCTACATTTTTAGTGAATATAAATTTGTAATTTGTCGAACACCCAAAAAGTTATATTTATTTGAAAATGGAGTGGTTTTCCTGATTCAAACATGCTCTTCGCTCTAGCCGGCCAGTTACTGGAAAAGTCGATGAAATAATGTAAATGGTTGTGTAAGACCAACATGTAAGCTGACAGGATATAGCGGGGCCCTACATAATCAACCATATGACAACTTGGAATCACGTAAAAATAGCAGGCTAATCAAATCAGCTCTATGTTTGGGTGACATATAAATTAACGCAAAAGAAAATTTATTGACCGAGCTACAACCAGTAAAACACCGTTGAAACGCAAGGAAATCAAACCATTTTTAAAGCGAATTATTACGGGCGATGAAAAATGGAGTGACTACGAGCATAAGGAACGCAAGCGATCACGACTTCAAAGTCTTTATTGACGATAAAGAAGGCGTTAAGTGTTTGGTGGTATTGGAAGGAAATTGTCCATTAAAAACTGCTAAAACGACATGAAACGATCAATGCGGTCTTGCGCTGTGCAGAAGTCGACCGTTAAAACGAAGCAATCAAGCAAGAACATAAAGAATTCGCCAATAGAAAAGGAGTTCGTTTCAGCATGACACCTCATTGTAAAAAATTGGCCTAACGAAGAGCCGCTAGAAATCACTTTGCCAAGTTTTTCGGCGATAAACCACACAGAAGTTCTACAACGATGATATTATGAAGCTACCCGAAAAATGGCATACGGTTTTAGCTAATAATGACTAAACCGCGGTGAATTTTCATATAACCCAATACATACATATCGAAGGTCCTCTGCAATAAAGACACAATACAAAATTCAATAAATAAAAACTGTTAACTACTGTTAAGTGGCTCTGGTCTCTAATCCTTGTCTAATCCATTTCCACTCTTTACTTAAGTAAGTAGGAAGGATTGCTAAAGTAAGTACTAAGGATTATACATGGATTCGATAAGGATTAGAGAAATGAGCCACTTAACAGTAGTAAGGGTTTCTATTTTTAGACTTTTGAATTATGTCGTTATTGCACAGGACCATCGATATGTACATAATAAAACCCAAACGCTAGCATATACATATGTGCATACGTAAATGTAGCGCCAAACTACAACTGCACATACATATTTTCCATATTTTTTTGTACGTTTTACAGTATACTTCAAGTTTTTAATTTAACGCAAACAGTAGCAGACATTTACATTCTTACATATTTACATATATAAATTTAAGTATACATACATATTCTGTTCTTTACCCCTCTTTACTACTTCTCAGCATTACCCAGAGTGTATTAAATTCATTTGTACTATAAATAAACATTTGTACTACTTTTAAAGAAAATACTAGTTATAAGGAATTTACAAAATAAAGTGAAAGAAAAAAATTTCAAAACTGTGCTCATTTGTTTGTAAAGAGGAATTCTTACTAAAAATTATTATATATTTCAAATCAATAGCTAAGTACCATATCTATTTTGGAGATGAAATTATTTAAACTAGTATCGGTCAGTTGTCGAAATTTGATATATTTTTTCATACACTTTTGAATTTTGTTTGTCGCAAATATTGACTCCTTTATGCGAATTACGATGTCCGCCAGCAAAATTAATAGTAAATTTACAGAAAACCCTAAAACCAAATTTCTTCAGTAGCTTTCGAAGTTAAACAGAGAAAGGAACCTCAATATTCATTTAGATAAGTGCATCAAGTACGAACATAACGGTTGTTTTTAAATAAAATAAACGTGGAGTGTTCAGCAACTATACGGAACCTATTTTTTTGTTGTACTCGACCATTTTTACAACCTACACTAGGTATTGTTTCGGGTGTATTTCATAACTTTTTTTTTGTAGCACCGTGTAATCGACTAATATTCGTTCATATACTACTATTCGATAACCGCAATATGTTACCAGCGTGCTAATTTGTTCCTCCTTAGAACGGCAGTCGCGTTAGACCATATATGTATGTACACCAGGGTGGTCCAGAAACGTTAAAATCGGAATTGTAATGCTCTCATCCCCTAGGATTGTTCTATATCGAAAAAAAGTATACTCCTATCTTTTTATTTTGAAATCAAAAAATATTCAGAGGTTGCTCAAAGCGCTCAAAATTTTCCATGTATTTTTATATAGGAAAAATAAAATTTTTCGTAGAAATGGTATAGAATTATTGAAAGTCAATATAGGAGATAGGAGAAGAGAATGGTTCTCTTGAGGAGACTTCCAATAATAATACCCAATTACTTATTTAACCATTTTTTAATATTTTTTTTATTGATCGCTCCATTGCATTTTTCGGGGTTTTTGTAGTTTTTTAGCGGACCTATAAATTATAGTTGCCATGAAAAAATGGTTAAATAAACAATTGGTTAATATTACTGGCAATCTCCTGCAGATAAACAAAGTTTTCTAGTAGAAAACTATAGATTTTTAACTATTCTATACCATTTCTACGAAATTTTTGTTTTTTCCCCATATAAAATACATGGAAAACTTTTGGCGCTTTGAGCGACCTCTATATATTTTTGGATTTCAAAACAAAAGAAAACAAGGGTATATTTTTTTCGGCATAGAACAATCCTAGGGAGTGAGAGCATAAGAATTCCGATTTTACTTTTTCACATGCATTTTTGGACCACCCTAATGTACACATATTAAAGTTCAAAAAGATTGGCCATAAGCATTACTATATTATTAACAGGCACATAATGGGCATAGAGGCAATGTTTTACGCGAAAAAGGCATATTAAAAAACTGTGATAGATTAAAATTAAGCTACTCTTATTCAGAAATGTCCAACAAATTCATAACTGATTAGTATTTTCAATAAAATCTGCAGCGGCATCCGTTAAATCCGTTTAATTCAACAAATTTGATCGCGGCTTGTTCTAACAGTTATGTGTTGATAGCTTTTTAACCGACTTCCAAAAAAGGAGGAATATTTTTTTTTATGTATGTTACCGCATAACTTTGGACCACGTCAACCGATTTCGATAATTTTTGCATCGGAAAGGTAGTTTCTCATACTAATCTGGTTTAGATCCGATCATTGGATCATGAAGTATATATATATATTTTTTTTTTTTAAGTCGGTTTTTTTGCTAACAATTACTTGTTTAACAATTATTTTATGGAAACTTTTAATCATAACATTAATTGCTGTTTTGGTGTTACTTCTTAAAAATGGAAAATGATGGTTTCATATGAAATATTACATAATAAAAATTTGTTGCTAAATTATCAATATATAAAATATCAATAACTATATAACAGGACTTATTTTCAAAGAAATAGTTTTTTTTTTTTTAAGGTACAACTAATGATTAGGGCCAAGATCTTCATTCCGCTAACAAAAAGTAATGCAACGCCACGCATGCTGGCGCCAAACAAAGCGGCGGCCATTTTTATTTCACTAGACCAACTTTAGCAGTTGTTCCAAATAACATAAAGTGTATTTAAACATTAAGGATCAAAGTAATTTATACTATATATTTTGCACCATATAATTTATAAGATGTATTTTAACAAACCTGAAGCCAATTTTCAAAAAATCTAAAATAACGAATCCAATATGGCGTCCAAGGATTTAAAAACAATTATTAAATTTTCATTAAATTTCAAACTAGTTTTTAAAAATGATGAATGCAAAAACCAGTATGACGTCTGCAATTTCCAAAAAATAAAACCTAAAAACTTTATTTAAAATGTAGGGAACTGAATATTTGGATATGCCGAATTTTGTATAAAATAAAAAAATCTTAAAAAACCTATTGCGGCCTGGGTCAAATTTTTGGGGTGATCATATGTATAGTAGAGCGCCTCAACTATCCCCCATTTATGAATATGTTTACTGGTATTATTTCGTAATTTGATAATAAATTCATTTTAAATATGTATGTTCTCTCAAATACAAGAAATCATTAATTTTGGTAAACAATTATATTGTGTTACTCAACTATGACTGACAGATGAAAAATGTTGAATGTGAGCTCGATATCACTGAGCTTTAAAACCTGGTAGGTTTGATTCTTGGGAAATTTTTCAGCATCTCAAAATATAATTTCTTAATAAAAAAATTAATTAACAGTTCATTTGATTACTGTCAGCTCCCCATTTTTTTTTTACATAAAATCTTTGATCAGCATGTCTAAAAACCTAATCGCTGGGTTTTTTTCTTAAGATTTTCTTATTTTTAGAGAAATTGGCAGTTGATTTGACTGCTGTCAACTGTCAAATTCTAAATTTTATGACATATTCGGATTTAGCATTGCAACAACACTACGATCCTGCAGTTTTGTTACAATCGTAGCGGTGCTTCTAATTTTTCGTGTAAAAAACACGGCTTCTTCGACCACTGTGGGGCGCATTAAAAGTAAATAAAATTAAGGTTATGATATACAGAAGATAATAAAAACATGAACGTGCATATGAATACGAAAATAATTACATACGTATGTATGTATTAAGGTCGCATAAATGTAATGCGTCGCTCTGTTTAATTACGGTCAATTAAGCACGCATCTTTACATATCAATCGCACGCCATTTAATGTGCTGTCAATGAATTATGATTGGCAGACTTGTCATCATATTATCGACATAGATATGTATGTAAATGTCATCGGTCACTGTTCAGTGCAGTCATGGCATTATATTAATATATAAGCACTTTGTTTATTTAATTTTTGCAACGGCATACACCTGCCAAAGCATCACTCTTTTTGCATTGCCCTTTCTATTTACAATGTTTATGTAAATATGTGTACATACATGCTCCTATTAATGAAATAAAATCGGAATGATAACCAATAAAATCCATTGACAATGATTGCTCGCTTGAGTAAACGACCTACAGAAAAATTAAGTAAATGTTCTCACGTTTTATTGCCTATCAAATTTCATTGATTTGGTATCTTTCGCTTTCATTCATCTTTGTATTTACTCAAAATGTTCTTTTATTGATTTTAGTTAAATAGTGTGTGGAAATACTTTTTTAGAATGGAATTGTGGATGGCATGAAAAACAAAAGAAAATTCCATGT